GTTGCATCTTTATGTATGCGACGAAAGTTTATACATGACAGAACCATGCTGCAGTTATATTAGTAGTATAGTTTTAACACAAACGGGACGGCTCGACCGGGGAAGGACCACACTCTCACAGAATACCAGTGTAAAATAGTAACTTAATGCTGCTGTGTTTCGTATGGTGAGTGTAGAGAACCGGAGACCCTTTTTACTGGAAACGAGGAACTAGTCCTCACGGGTGACAACGCATAATATGCATTTTTATTCGTAATCGAGGATAGATGTAGATGTCTATGTGCCGCAGCAACCACTTACCATCAGGTGGACTGTGTGCGCATTTATCACCCTATCCCATAAAAAAAAGATTAATGAATGTTTTTTTTATAAAAAAAAATTATTATTTTTAAGTCTATGTAAGGCACATTACACGTTCACATGGTATTCGTATAAGTTACGGAGTTATAAAAAAATATTATGTGAAATGGCAGGTAAAGTGTAGTGGCAGCGTTAGAATATCCACAATCCCATATCATCCCGTGGGTGTCGTAAGAGATGACAGAGGGAAACAAATCAGGAGATGGGCAACAGTGTCTTCCTAATTACAACGAGAAAATAATACTGCGGGTGCCAACCCACATCCCAAGCGTGACAACTATGGCAAATATCCTTCGTATAAGACAATATATGAGGAGGCCTATGTTTAGCACTGGACTTTGATTGGTTGTTGATTTGATTGATTGATTAGTGAAAAAATGATAATTTTTTTTCTTTTTTTAAAAATAAAGTTTCTCGCTAGTAATTCTTCTCGTACCGTTAGAGCGTTAATTATATAAAAATTTATTTATTTATTTATCTATTTTTAACCGACTGCCAAGGAAGGGTTAAGTTTTCCCGCGTATCTTGTATGTATGAAATGAAATTTATTAAAATACATTACATTATTGTTACAATTATTTTTGAGCTCTGAAGCCTGTGTTAGTAAAAACTGTGCTACAGGCCTCAGACTTCCCCATCTATTGTCTTAGTATTATAATGTAAGTATATTACTATTATAAAGAAATTTGTTAGTTAAAAAAATAAAATGATAATTAAAAAAGTGAGTGCGCGCGCGGCTTGTGTGTGTGTGTGTGTGTGTGTGTGTGTGTGTGTGTGTGTGTGTGTGTGTGTGTGTGTGTGTGTGTTCACACACGAGCGATTAAGTGATCTTTATGAACAATTCTTCAATTGCATTATAATTCAAGTCGTTAAGAGTTTGTTTTAATATTTTCTTGAATTCATGATTATTAAGGTTAATAATAGTTTTAACATATCTTAAAAAAATAAAAATATAAATTTCTTTGCAACTTTCCGCTAAACATTGTTTAGCGGATAGTTGCAAAGAAATTAATATTTTTATTTTTTATTATAATGGATTTCCGCAAAGTAACGCCTGATTCTATCAATTATTTAACATATCTGTTATTAACAGTTTTAACTTTGTTGAATAATTTATTATAAAGCATTGCTGCACAAAAATTGTAGCTTCTTCTAGCAAACACGGTCTGGACTCTAGGTACAGGTAATATTGTTACTCGTTTATTACTTATAGGAGGACAAGGCAAAGAATGGCGGTGATATCTACGAAGACACTGGTATACAAATAATTTGCGTACTGATAACATATCGCACTGCTTGTACAGGTCATGTGTGGGGTATTTAAAAGGCAACCGCATCATAACTTTTAGGACGGCGCGTTGCGCACGCTCTAGTAGTATGAGGTGTGTTTTTGCTGCGCACCCCCAGACGCAAATACAATATGAAATAATGCTCTCACACAGGGACTTGTATGTTAACAAAGGAACATCATAATTAGCCACATCACGCAAATTTTTAAATATATAAATTGGCAATATGCATGCATGTTTGTAAATTTCTTTATTATCTCATATCTTCCAAACGGTTGGATGAATTTCGACAGCTTAGGTTAGGTTAGGTTATTTTCGTCTTAAAACCCAAGTGTCCTTAGATAGCTGTTTGAAAAAAATTATGGCGGATTTTTGGCGCGAAATAGTAATACGTTACTAAAAAAATTACCAAACATATCGAATAGGGTATCAAAATAAAGGAAAATAAAAGATAATTACAAATATATATAAGTTATAAAATTAAATTTGGTTATTATATTGACTATAATAAATTGGTTTAAAAAGTTGTTGATAGCGTAAAATTGGCCATGTTTGTGTCGGACCTCGAGCATATGAAATTTATAATAGCCATAAATATCCGTAGCTCATTGATATTTAAAACGAAACAAATTTTAAACTTTTTTTTTAATAAAGATTAGTTCGCTAGTAGATCCTACAAAGTTACTACATCAAGCGCAGGATCAAAATTATCTCGAAGAATTGAACCGCTCACGTAAATTGTAATTTTCATTTGTCTGTTTTGTTTGGAAAGCAATCAATCATCTCAACATTTTGCCACTTATATAAGTAACACAGTTTTTTTCATAAGGGTGTGTCGAGACACTAAAAAAGTCTAAAATAAAATACATAATAAAAAAAAACCCGACTGCAAAAAAAGAATTAAAAAGTAATGCACTAAAAAGACCGAAACAAGATTGAGAATATAAATCAAAATTAAAATAAACTATACATAGACTTCAGTTTAACTGACTATATCATGAGTTGAAAATCTAAGTTAAATACCATTGAATTAAGTATAGTAGCGGGATCCGATTGCAAATTATAAACCGAAAGAAAATTAATAGGTTCCGCTTGTTAGTATACTTAATGAGGGTATTTAACTTAGGCTTTCAGCTCATAATAGGTATAGTGTTTTAAACTGAAGTAGAGTTTATTAGGTTTACAATTTATTTTAATTTTGTTTTTTATTCTCAATATTGTTTATTAATGTCCTCTAGACTGAATGTCCATCACGGTGGCTTAATGTAGAAAAAACATTCGCGCACATCAGGATTATAATGCACAATTTTGTGTGCAAGCACTGGGCACATGTGCACTCTGTATTCCCTCACTCTTATAGTCCGATGGGATGGTAATCAGACCCTACCGGCACAGTATATAAATGCATATATACAACATGTAACAAAATTAACGCACTTTGAGAAAGTAGTTTGTTCAGAATCGTTTACTGAATCGATTCCTATCATTTTTAATATAGGTAATTTTTTATCCCAAAAATAATTAAAACTACGTAAATTACAGTCACACTAAATCTGTAAAGTCAAAACAAACTGAAATGGACCGTAACTTAAGGCAATAAGACTTTTAAGAGTGCAGTTTTATTTGTATTATTACTAATTCTGTCATTCAATAAAAATAAAGAAAAATGAACTTTATTTCAAGCATGTTAAAGTGTTTGCGTTTGTGGATTTGTACTGTGACCACACACAACATTCTTGCGGAATTAGTACAACTAATTTGATAAATAATCAGTGCACAAAAATGTTTAACTAAAAATTCAGTGTATGTATTATGATTATAACATAATATACTAATTAGGGTGTCTGAGGGTGTGCGTTAATTATGTTACATATTGTATATACTGTGCTACCAGACAGAGATCAAGCGCAACACCGACTGCTTTGCTTTCCAAGGTACAGGGGTGAAACCGTGAAACACCGTAGAGATGGGCTAACTCGGAAGAAACTCGACTCCAGTTGAGATTCACGTCTCGAGTTAAGTAACTCGAATTGGAGGAACGAAGCTGTGTCAATTTCTTACGAATTTTTTTTTTCTTTATTTAAGAGCTTAATCAAAATGCGATTATGTCGCTCTATTTGACATCATTTAGAACTAAATAACATTCCATTTAGCAAGCAAACAAAAATGAAAATGAAAACAAGTACTATCTAATTGACTAATCTGAGGAAAATATTATGTTATATAATTTAGCCAATAATTTTGTTTCATCGGAATGAGGATTGGATAAAATAATGTTACAATCAGCAAATTCCTTTAAAATATTTTTACACTTAGTTATTCGAAAGGCAGCATTGCAGGCACACTCCATCAAGACATGCATTAAGTCCTCGGGAACACCGCATTGTTCACAGTTCGGTGACGGGACACATATACTAAATGGTGCTCCGGCAGTACATATACTAAAATTGGAACGATACGAATTATTTATATATTCATTATTACATCCAACTCCTTGTTGGGCATAGACTCTAATACGATGCTATCGCATATTTTGGGACAAGTATTATTAAAAAATTTAGTGGGTAGGATTAAAATAAAAAGGCATTTATAATAATGTCCGTAGTCTTAGATTTTAGAAAGTACATATATATGAGAATAAAACTATTTGTATAGAAAATCTTCACAAGACAATCAACAAAATAATATGTAAGTAACTTATGTTATTAATAATTTACTATGTCTCACAAAATACGAATTGTGATTTCTGCTGCTTGCATATTTTGTACTATTATCACCGAGATTTAACTCCGACTTAGTAAATCGAGTTTACCCATCACTAATACATTCTTGACAGAAAAAAAAACATTAGCTAATTTTAGTCCGACCCGGGATTTGAACATGGAATCATATAGCCAGGAGTCTCGCTTACGGCCACTAGACGAATGAGTTTACAAACCGTTCAAAATACTTATTCTCCGCGGAAATCAAATCCAGAATTCTCAGCGTCGCGTCTAAGCTTTACTGAACCGCCCATTAATATCATAGGTTTAGAAACGGCATTGAATAACATCTGGAAAATAGTTTATTGAAGAATCAAGATTATGTTCTCATATTGTCGACAGATATATCGATATTTTTGTTAGATCAAAAAAGTTGTGTTTAAACGCATATTGGCATTTCGTTATTTGTATATAATTTGGTAGAAACCATAGAACTAACTTTTTAGAGAACTTACAATAATTTCATATAATAACTTATAATATATATATATATAATAACTTTAATACTTATAACTTGAATGTTTTTAAATTATTAAATATTTCATGGGCAATAAAAAAATAAGCTGAAATTTAAATAATAATAACTTACCTCCTCGATGGATGATGACAGAAATCCCGAACTGAAACAAACAGATAAATAAAATAATTAATATAGTATTTTTTTATTTATTAAAGACTATAAGAAGTCCACTGCTAAAGATAGGTATCCTCCTAGGATTGCACTATACTTTAGAAGCTGCAGTTATTTTTTTTATAGAATAAGGGTGACAAACGAGTACACAGTCCACCTGATGGTAAGTGGATGCTGTGGCCCATAGACATCTACATTTATCCTCGATTAAGAATCAAACCGCAGATGCGTTATCAACCATGATGACTAAGATGAAATGCCTCATTTTCAGTAAAAAGTGTCTCCGGATCTCTACACTCACCATACGAAACAAAAGCAATATTAAGCTGCTATTTTACGTTGGTATTCTGTGAGAGCGTGGTTCTTCCCCGGTAGAGCCGAACCATAATAATCCTGCGGCGTGTCTCTATCACGTATATATGAATATAGAGTAGTTAATTGTTATCAGGAAGATGCTGCTGCCCAACTCCTGTTCCATTTTCTTTCGACACTCGTGGAATGATAGCAGATAGTGGATTCTCCCGCCACTACACGGAAACAAAAAAGAATACAGAAAAGTGTTTATTTGCTAATAGGAACTTATGGATGGGAACTTAATGAAGGGCATATGGATGGTTATTGGTTATCATTATGAAATATCCAAAAAAATTACTACCAATTTTTATAGATTTTATCGCTTTCAATTATATTATTTTAATTATAAATATATTTTATACATATTTTATATATAATTAAAAGCGATAAAATATAAGATATTATTTTTATTTTCCGAATGTAAAGCTACACATTTTTTTAAAAAAAATCGTCAACTATATAAATGTGTTCATTCGAAATGAAACTTCAAATGTATGGCTATGGTGGACTATGGACGTAGTGCATGTATAGGTATTAGTTAAAGAGTACAAAAATCGTAAACCTACTTCCGGCAGGACACTCCATGCCGTGAATTAATTTTACCTCATGAATTTATCGGCGACACCTAGTGTTGAATTAATTACAACACAATAGAAAATAACTGAACTAGAAGACAGCGCTATCTAGGAAACCATGACGTAAGTTATTATTATTAAAATTCATATCATCTTTATATGTGAGGCCGGTGAGGAAGGAAAAGGGGAGATCTCCCGCCAGGCAAGGTGTACTGCCTGGGGAGCGGCCGACACTCCTTGTGATAGTTCGGAGATGTTCTATATATGCTGTTTATGATTCGGAATGTTGATAGCGTGATTTAAGCTTCGGTGTGTTTCGCTTGCAGCGCGACGACAGCGCTGCCACATATGTATTGTAAAAGTGCAAGTGCTAGCTAAAGTAAGTAAAGTTACAGCCTATATATGTCCCACTGCTGGCACAGGCCTCCCCTTATTATGGTTTTAGTGTGTTGGCGAACTTCACGTGTCTTTGAAATATTGTTTTTTCTTTATTCCCCCGACATGCAGGTTTCCTCACTAGTTTTTCCTTCACCGTCGAGCACGTGGTAAGTCAGCACTTAAAATTGAAATTTGCAATTTTATTGGTGCCAGCGGGGATCGAACCCGGGTTACTCACGTTCTGTTATATTTACAGCGGGCGTTAACCATCTGAGCTAACACGGCTCTCACGGTTACGGCCCGGTAGCTTAAGGTAGCATGGGTCAACTTTAAGATCAACATGTTTGTGCCGTAAACAACGCAAGATGTCAGGAATTTTATACATGGTAGAGCCATGCTGCAATTTATTAGAAGTATAGTTGTAGCTCGAATGGGTCGGCTCGACCGGGGAAGGACCACGCTCCCACAGAATACCAGCGTAAAATAGTAGCTTAATGCGTAAAATAGTGTTTCGTATGATGAGTGTAGAGAACCGGAGACCCTTTTTTACTGGAAACGAGGCAGTCCATCTTAGTCCTCACTGGTCACAACGCATCTGCATTTTGATTTGCAATCGAGGATAGATGTAGATGTCTATGGGCCACAGCAACCACTTACCATCAGGTTGACTGTGTGCTCGTTTGTCACCCTATCCTATTAAAAAACCATTTATTTCTAATCTTAATGTACTTTTCCATATATATTATGTTATTGTTTTTTACTTTGGCCGTCAATTATCTACTACCTTTAAAATAATTATTATAGGAGTCTGAGCAAGTTAGATTCATAATAAAATAAATTAACAAGTTTAGTTTAGTTCAGTTTCAATAAGATTAATATATGCTCGATTTCTTTCTCCTTTTAATTTTACGTTCATGACGAAGAAAATTCTTTCCGTAATACTTACTTGTTCCAGAGTCCAGACTTCCAATGACAGTTAATATAAAAAAGCGCGAAAGTTATATTAGGGATAAAAATATAGTACGATAATATATATTATAGTACGGCACGGTACGGGTGGCAACCCTACTCAGGATCAGGACCGTGCTTTGTGGGAGGCCCATGTTCAGCTCAGTTCAATGATGAATGATGATTATGGCATAGAATTTTCTCAAAATAAGCTCAAAATCTACAGCATACGAAAAGATACAAGTACGAAAAATCATATATTTCGCATTCGCAATGCAATAGCCAGTGTTAATGTTTTAAAAGTACACTTACAATAAAAATAAAATTTAGTTGTGACATTGAAAGATCTGTTCATCTGTTTTGTAGGGAAAAAATGCCGCGCAATATTAGTGGCTTTGTTTCAATTTTATTCAATTTTTTTTACTGCCAAATTGAAAGCAGTATCTGCAAAATTTATATAAGGAATATCCTTGACCCATGTATATTACTGTATCTGCTTTTTCTATCTTTATATCCAAAATGACAATTTTTGCCTACGAATCCGTCTGGGTTATACGTAATAGCCATGTTGCCGCCATTTTAGTAGTATGGTTGTAACTCGAATGGATCAGCTCGACCGGGGAAGGACCACGCTCTCAAAGAAAACTAGCGTAAAATACTAGTTTCACACTACTATGTTTCGTATTGTGAGTGTAAAGAATCGGAGACCTTTTTTACTGGTTACGAAGCATTCCATCTTAGTCTTTACCGGTGACAAAGCATCTGCATTTTGATTCGTAGTCGAAGATAGTTGTAGATGTCTGTGGGTCACAGCAACCACTTAGGTACCATCATCTGGACTGTGTGCTCGTTTGTCACCCTTATCCTATAAAACAAACACCTCTTATCTATTTCTGGCCGCTAAACAGCGCTGCGCGCAATGCTTTGTTCCGGTCTGAAGGATAGAGAGAATCAGTATAGGCGGGTGGCGGTTTAAGAATATCCACTACACCATATCATTTCGTGGATGTCGTAAATTTCGACAGAGGGACACAAATCAGGAGATGGACAGCGGCGTCTTCATAATAACGACCGAAAACAAAAACTGCGGTTGCCAATCCGCTTGCCAAACGTGGCAACTATGGCAGATACCCTATATATGAGGCAATCTATGGAAACGACTCATTTTCAGCGGTGGACTTTGAAAGGCCTTAACGTAACGGTAACGGAGACATTCCATCTTTGTTTGTTTGAAGTTGGGTGCCGGTGACGGTGACTGCCTAGTTGGTCTAGTGGTTGTAGGAGTGTGACAACTGATCATGGGGTCCTGAGTTCGAAACCCGGGTCGGGCCTATAAAAATCAGTTTATTGAGTTTTTCGTCTAGAAATTTTCAGTATCTGCCCGGAGTCTGAAAGTTGGCGGTGTCTCACCCCCGTGCCTCAGAAAGCAGGTAAAGCCGTTGGTCCTGCGCCTGATCTCTCTCCGGTCGTGTCGGTTTACCGTCCCATCGGACTATGGGAGTGAGGGAATAGAGAGTGCACCTGTGATTGCAAATTCACTTGGGCACTATAATCCTGTCCTTCGCTGATGGCTAGTTTCCGTTGAGGCAGGCCGCCGTGGCCGAAATTCGGTCTGGAGGACATTATTATTATTATTATTATTGGGTGCCGTTGTCTGTCGATAATATAAGCATATTATATTGCTTGTATAAGGACGACTATCGATGCGTGGAGTCTATGCATGGAGTAATTTCCAAATAAAATACACCCTCTTTTAATAGAATTAGGCTTTGGCCCATAGACAACTATACCGTCTAATCAGTTACTAGACTCCACACCTCCAAAGAGTTAATAATTCAGTTGGGGGACAATATACTATGACCTAGTTTTTTTATTACACGCAGATTTTATGAAGTTTACACTTATATTATATTTACGCAGACGGGTATCCCTTGGATTTCTTGCACTATTCCTTGAGAAGTAGGGCCAAGGGAATTCAAATAAATATTGCATCTCATCATTAACATTAAAAACATTATTTAATTTGAGGTAAACTTACCAACACAGGAGACTTTGTTTATTGTCCTTCTTCTTAGGCATTTTCGAACAGAATTTTATTATCAAAACCTTTCGAGTAAAATAAATCTATATCTTTATTGCGCTTAATTTTTTGATTTCCTATTCCCGAAACACGGTATCCGGTTCCTATAAGACCATTATAAGCAGAACTGAAAATAACCAAGCCGGGTCTTGTACAGTGTTGTCTCTGAGTGGAATTCGAATTATTGTATACTAGTGGTCCGATCTGGCTGTGCCCGGGTTAAACAATTATCTATGCATAATGAAATAGCCTATATCCATCTGGAAAAATGTGCCTTTCTAATGGTGAAAGAATTTTTCAAATAAGGTGCAGTGGTTCCAGAGATTGCCCTCCACAAATACATATACTCACAAAATTCTCACTATCTCTTTTTTTAAATTAAGATTTTTGACTTGGATGCCTGTTTTTTAAGCCATGTCTTCATTTTATTCGCGATCTTCGTCCTTAAAAATTTTTTACATGCTGATGCGTCACGTTGCGAAGTTTTCGGGAGATTTTGACGACAGCTCAACCCAGAAAACAGTCGATGAGATAGTCAAGTTCATAAGGCGCCTAAGCGATCAAAACAATTTGAGGTTAATATCTACATCGAAGCACTTGCTTCGTCGTTTTCGCTAAAACATAAATCCACTTCAAACCATTATTTAAACGGTA